ATATATATATATATATATATATATATATATATATATATATATATATATATATATATAAATACTGATATATATTTATATATAATATATAAATTATATACTCTATATGATATATATAATAATATATAATATCATATAATAATATATATATTAAGATATATACATATATAATATAAATTATATATTTATATAATTGACTAAGCAGTGTGTAACCAAATTGGTACGAATCAAATTTACAATGTGTCGTGTAATTGCCTACTACCTTCAATGATATCAAAGATAATGTCTAGGAGAACGTTTCGTCGTAATGGTGAAATCGCTGTATTTTTTCATTCTTTGGCTAATATTTAGGGCAGCTGTTCGACGTAATTCTTCGGTACCAACCCCGTTTTGCCGTTCAACGTACCTTCCAGCCAACCAGGCTCCCAAGAGGCCTTAACTGCAATAATATGCAGTTATAACAAGTATATACAGTTATAATTTCTTTCATGTCATCGAATTAATATTCTCCATGTCATACTTACCATTTGTAATGATCTGATTTGGTTCAAATGATAACTCGCCGTCGTTTTCTGCCATGCACGCGTACAAAGTTCGCACTCTCCTAAAAAAGAATTCCCGTATCAATACAAAATTACAATCACTGAACTTAAATCTCACGTGTGCGAAGCACTCACCAAATTCCAGGTGTCTGACTGGGACTCGAACGTCCATTACCAGGTGAAGTATTAACGCTATAATTACAATGTTAAAATGAAGACAAAAGCAGGATTGGAAATGAATAAAGTACAGTTCTTGTTCTCTTTGTCACTAATGAAAAGTCGAAGTGACTTACGGACATGATGACGAATTATTGCGTTGAGAGTAAGCAGTAGGATAGTGTACGGACATCATGCCGCTGCGCTTTTGTTTTACTGGTATTTCGCCTGTAAACGGATGAGGGTCCGATGCAATCGATTCACTCGAACTACTCGTATTGCCACCGCTCAAAACTGCAACAAATAACAGAAGCATTTGTTCAGAAACATTCTCTGGTTAAAAAATGGTATTATAGTCAGAATAAATGACATGGATATATGAAGAACCGAACCTTTGTCGGCAGAATGATACATCAGATTCGCATTAGTCAATTTTATACGACTGCCACTGCTACTGCCGCTACGACTATCCACGTATAATGGTATACGATGGCTCGTGTTATCGAGATCTTCGTAATCCCCGTTACTTCTTTCGTCGACGATGGATGATTTATTGACAACTGTTAAAGACTGCCCGTCGTAGTAGGGTCTCGTAACAAGCTGTAGACATATAGATAGGGATACAGTTATATTGATGGTAACATATTTTTATGTAAATTTTTTTTCGAAAACGATAAAATGTGCAAATATTTTTCTTACTCGTTTTATATTCTTACTCGTTTTTGTTTTAATGTTTTAATGAAATGAACAAGTGAATAAGATTAAAGATTATTAAGAGTAAAGCGAGTGAAACTCACGTGCGCCTGCGACGACGTAGGTGTGAGCGATATCGCCGTATGTAGTGGATATCTCAAGAATGCTGTGCCATTACCAGAGGAAGAAGTTGGACCCTCTTCTTGAACTTTGACACGTTGGGATTTACTTGGAACAACGGTGGTTTGCAATGGCGACTGTGTCGCTGCTGTGCGCAAAGAATCTTGTGGGGACCCAGCCACAATTCTTTCGCAATTCTCAATTAGTATCTCTACCACGATATTGTGAAATTTAATATCTATTATGGAAGCCACCGTTTCTTCTTCTGGTCGTAACAAAGTCGGACCGAAACATACCGCCAAGTTTCCCACGGTCATCAGATTTTTATCGCTTTTCTTAGCTACACTGAAATTTCAAATAAATTCTGAGTAAGTTTGCTGTCAAATGAACCTTATCCACTGCAGCAGCATATTAGACAAATATATCAACGCAGAAAGAAGATTCTAAATAGCGATTAAATGATGTTAAACAATTTTTAGACATAATGGAGAACTAAATTTGATAGTAACAAATAATAATGAATAACTTGTCTTACGTGCAAAGATGTGTGATAAGAAGAATCAGCATGTTGAAGTTAGCCTTAGGTAGTCGATAAACGAGACTGTGCACATCGTTTATTCTAGTTTCCTTCGTCTCCTGTTCTGTTTAATTAACATAATAAAAAATGTTAAACTCTAACTTTTTATTGAATTTCTTTTGCTTACACACAGAATTGTTGAAAGTGAGATATCAGTGAAAAGAGAACAAAGAAAAAGCGATTATTCTACAAAAGGAAAGAGAAAAAGGGAGAAGCTTATTGTCACATGGAATCTCTCTAATCTCTTTCTCTCAGAGTAGATATAATAGCAAAAAATAAAACAATATGTTATCGAGAATACCTATACGCACTCGCAGCTGTAATGAAGCTATTGTAGTATCGGAAAGTCATCAATGGTTCCGACAATGTTCTTAGATATGTCTTGAGTGCACTGGTAATAGTTTTGCTCTCCCACTCGAAACGGTCGTTTAGATTGATTTTGTCAACTTTCCTTTTATCGAGTCCCATCGTCAGAAGTTTATTCACCTTCGAAGCAACACCGACCACTCTATATAGACCCTGTTCTTCGAGCCCTATAATCGGTAACAATTAAGTAATCTAAGTTCGATTAATTCGTGCAATAATCACAAAGTTACAATCGTTGCTCACCTCTATCTTCAAGCGCCATAATACACTTAGATACGAACGTAAAACCAGTTTCGTCCAACGTCGTATCTTCGGATTTCGCGGAAGAACCCAATAGTGGACAAGTCTAAAAGACAATGAAATTTCAAATATTTTGATGATTGTATACGATTCAACACATCAAAGTTGAAGGAGAATAATACTTACAGGTTCCTTTCCATCCATGGCATCCATCCATAATTTCCTATCCTCCTCCGAGAGCGCTTGGAATGTGTACGTTATATGAGGCCTGGAAAAGATTGAAAAGATGAAATTTATAATCGTCATTTCCCATTTGGTACAAGGCGAGGTATCCATGATATGGTATCACGAGGTATCTATGATGTGGTAACACATAAAAAAATTGTATGTTGGAAAAAAGGCAATCGTAAAATTTGTAGACAATTTTGATTATTTTTCTTTCAGGATATAAATATGTATTATAGAAAATATATATAATAGAATTAAACTCACTTATCGGTAGCTGTGACGTCAAAGCAAAATCTTTTTTCTATAGTATCCGATGTTCGACGTATGCAAGATGCCAACGTGAAGGTTTCCTTATTACTCTGTTAAAGAAATATTGAAAATCATTTATAAGATCTCTCTCTATAGTACTTTGCGCATATTAACAATAATTTTTCCACCTTCATACTTACAAATTTTCCTGTGAGTTGATTATAAGGAATCATAGTGAACTCTTTCTTGTCCTTCTGATATGTGCAATACTGTTTAGTCCATGTTGTGCCAAAGGCTTCTGCAAATAACGTATTATTTTCTTAGCATAATATAACAATTATATTAAAATTATTCAAAACACATGCGATTAATGTCTACCATGAAACGCATTGTACGCTATAGAAAAAGAAATGAACTTACTTTTCTCCATTAGGAACAAATAGCCTTCGCGCGAATGCAGTTTATTGAGACCACTTTCTACCGCCGACTAAGAAAAGAGAGACGCATGATTACAAATAAAAATAAAATACATACTTTATACAGTATTTTGTCAAGCTGTATCAACTACTTTATTATAGTACAAAAATTCGTGGAAATAGGTATTTGTATGCATAATATATATTTTCATTTTGTAATCTACGATAAACTAGTGTTTATTATATTATGAGACAATATATTTTTCTAAATAACTACGTCGTTCATAATTTCTAAGAATACCTACACCTCAAGAAAATTTATGCAGAAAACTACTAAATAATACAATAATTAACAAAGATACAAAAATATCTATGAGACAAACGTACCTTTTTCATGTCCTTCATTTTATTCATAAGTGATTCAGTTTTAGCCCGGGTAGCAAGGAAATTCTCTCTAGTCTTGCGAAACACACGCACACACACAAATAAAAAATTGTAATTAGTAAGCTCTTATCCATGCTGTTACCGATCCTATCGTGATATTTACACTACACACAGTAAATTTTAGTCGATATTACGCGTTGGATGTAATAAGTCACAATCCCATAACTCAAGAGAATTATCAAATGTTTAATGATATGTATTTCATTATAAATGTTGCTTTTCGATATAATATATAATTGTAAGTTAGGGTTGTTTTATCAGTGATTGTGTGTGTGTATGCTTTGCAGAAATCCATGTCATTGCTTCTTGAATATACTACAAAAACTAACTTCTAATTAATTAGTAAAATTTGTAAGTTGTTAACTTATTTTTCTTATAACGTGCGATATTGGCTAGCTAGAAGCTAGAAATGAAGAAATCTCAATAGCAATATTAGAAATACTGTAGTAGAGCAGACATGTATCTACATGTTAGTGATGCTCAACACGATTTTCTTCAAACACACAGCAATAGCACGCATTAAAAAAATAATTCTCTATGATTATTATCAAATGTATTAACTTGGAATAAGTATACCGAAAACTTCTTTTCTATATTATTCAACATGTGTACGCGTTTAAGCAGTTAGAAACATTATAAAAAGACTGACCACCAACCTTCTGTATCTTTAACTGTAACTCTGTCATATAAGGCTTAAAATCTTTTGCAACCTCATGGCCTTGATGATAGAATGTCAGCCATCCAAACATAAATCCCAATAACTAGAACATTTTAAGTTGCATCACATTATGATTTACAATCTGCATATGCATGTATAGAATTAAACTATTTTCCATTACCGTTTCAACAAATTCAAATTTTTTCCGCTCTTGAACTTCTTGTAATAGAAATACATATTCTAGGCTAGCTTGAGAGAAGTGCCTTTCAGCCATCTCCAATGTCGCATCAGCCTACACACATCATGCACACGCAATATCAACTATTTAATAATGCACAATTCTAATTTTTTACATAACTCTAATAAAATTTTATTTTCAACAAAACAATTCTAAGTTTCCTTTTTATTTTGAAATATACCTCTTGTAGAACATTGTCTTGCTTTTTAGTGGATAAGTTCAAGTAACGTTCTTGACTCTGACAAAATTTAATCGTCTGTTTCTCAAATTTCTTTTTGCCATCCTGAAAAAAATTAATATTACTAAAGATGATTAATATTTTATTAGTTACATTTGAAATATATGTATATATGATAAGATAATTATAAAAATTATATAAGATATTGTAAAATACTAATAAATGGTATTACCTTGACTCCTCCAATATGTTCTTTCCTAAAATTTTCCAGAGGCAATATAATCTGATCATGTGCTCGTCCCAGCTATATAAAGATGTCATGTTAATAAATAGCATATAGAAAATTATGACAGTAATACAATACTTAGAAACGATATAAATATTTAAAATACTACATACCATGCGATCTCTTTCATCTTCTATAGATGCAATGAGTTTACCGAATTCTTTTAAACTTTGAGATATGTGAGTTTCATCCTCAGTCTGACTCTCTCCGATACATTCAAAACTAAAGTTTTGTAATGTTTTGGAAAAAGCTCTTTGAGCTCTGGACAAATCTGATGGGATATTTATATTATTTAATAATTCTTGATAAATATCAAGACATATGTAACAGATATTTTATTGAGAAAAGGAAAAATATAAGCAATGTTCTGTGGAACTTACTTTTAGCAGCTAACAATAAATCTTTGACCTCTTTAACGAGACGTTTGATCTGTTGACTGGTCTTTTCCAATTCACGTTCATGATAATGAAGATTCTCGCGAAAGTACGGACTGTCGGTTAAACAATCCGTAAACTCCAATGGTTTAAGGCCAACACCCATTCTCGTTTGTTTATGAAAATTCAAAGGTCATGAATACGATGCTGAGAGAAGGCCAGATTTACTTGTAAAATCGCTGTCACCTTTGATCATTCGCGATAAAGTGCACATTCACTATCATCTCACTGCGAGATTATTTGCGCAAATTCGCGTAGATTTTCCATCGTGTCGGCATGCGATGTATCCAAACACTTCAAATCAACTTAAAATCAAGTAGATATATAATCTGTGTGTATACACGTATATATATTAAAACACTGTTTAATACTGTTTCGTATACTGTTTCTTGTATCTTGTTTAATACTGTCCAATATTATAAAATAATTTTGTACTCCAATACTTTAGCATATTGGAGAGTTGAGTGGTGGTGATTCAATAATAATGAGTCCGCATTGATAGATGCATTTCCACGATTAGGAGATCTCTCCAAAGGAGATCGTGTGGATGTGTTTGCACTTGTCGCAAAAGTTCCTAGTGTACCATCGCAGAATACGGAAAAGAGTTGGCTCTTTATAGATAAAGTTATATCAAAGAGAAGAATGTGTGTGTGTGTGTGTGTGTGTGTGTGTGTGTGTGTGTGTGTGGTGTGGGTGTGTGAGAGAGAGAGAGAAGTAGCGGTATTAAACGTTATAAATGCATTCGCTTCCGTCACTCGACATATTCCAGAACGAATGCATCGTATCTAGATATTCGTATATTATGACCGTCAATTGGAAAATGTCCAAAATTATTTTCTTGTCAATTAATTTATTCTCATTTTATAATCTGTCGTTTATCACTCTTTATCACTTGGTATGATGTGTAATCTTTCACACTTACGTCACACTCTCTTTTGACTATTAAATTATCAGGCACAAATCTGAGTCACGATGCGCGCCAAAGTCTAAATACGATACGTTTGTTCGAAAGGAAGCCATAGATAAAAGGCCTGTTCGTCTTAATTGCACCCTCTATTGGCACTTTCGAGATGGTGAAACAGTTTAAGAAGAATGAACCTGTGTTTCGTACCTTAGAAGAAGAAGGAACGAGGAATAACCGAGCGCAAAGGGTGTAGCTGAAATAAACGAGCCGAAGATTTTTTCACACCACCAAGCGACTTCTCCGTCCCATCAGCCAATCCGCGTGTTCGAAACGTCAGCTTAAACTTACACGTCAGTTTGGCTATCCTGCGACGCGGACAGTTAACCTCGCTCTTCCTTGAGACATAGCCAGCGATGAGCCAATCGCCGCTCGCACCACGACACACCCTTTAAATGCCCGTTTCGCTTATTTTTGAGAAAATTCCAGCAAGGTAGTGACTATTAAACGCATCTCACATTTATTTCCATTGTCGACATCGACTAACAAGGTTTTCATGTTCGTCGGCCTATAACCAATTCACATCGGAGCACTATGGTGAGCACCTCGAATATCCACTCTTATCTTTCACACTCTTGTACACTGTATATATTTGTAATTAAGTCGTTTTATATTTGACAGTTAATTTATTCGACAATAGTGTCGACCTTCTATTTATTATCGTCTCCTTCCTTTTTACATTATCATCATGAATGCTAAAATTACAATATTTTATGAGAAAAATGGGGACAATTACAAATCATGCATGTTCTACTTTTATATCTTCACTGTATATCCTTTTTAGACGGAACAGCAAATGGATTGTGCACTGGATTTGATGCGGAGATTGCCACCGCAACAAATTGAGAAGAACCTCAGCGATCTGATTGACTTGGTTCCTTCCCTATGCGAGGATCTATTATCCTCGGTAGACCAACCATTAAAAATTGCCAAGGATAAAGAATCTGGCAAGGATTATCTTCTTTGTGACTATAATAGAGATGGAGATTCGTATAGGTTTGTTCAAAACAGGCACTCAAAATACTTAGCAATAGAAAAGAGAAAATAATCTGGTGCAAACATGATGCAATATTTTTTAGATCTCCTTGGAGTAACACTTATGATCCACCATTAGAAGATGGTTCAATGCCTTCTGAGCGGCTGAGAAAACTTGAGATAGATGCCAATCATGCCTTTGATCAATACCGAGAACTCTATTTTGAAGGTGGAGTCTCTTCGGTGTATTTATGGGATTTAGATCATGGCTTTGCAGCAGTCATACTTATCAAGAAGGCTGGCGATGGTTCCAAGAAGATCAAAGGCTGCTGGGATTCGATACATGTTGTGGAAGTACAGGAGAAGTCCACTGGTCGTACAGCGCACTACAAACTCACATCGACAGCTATGTTGTGGTTGCAAACCAACAAACATGGCTCTGGTACAATGAATTTGGGTGGCAGTCTAACCCGCCAGGTAGGCTTTTAGAGCTATATGTAATACTCGACTATATCGAATCTTTGACTCTTCCAACTGTTTTCTGTATTGTTATCTGTTCATTTGTCTATTCTGTTTATACCCAAATCAAATTGAAATTTGCAGTTTTATATCCAAGTAAAAACTTACTGCTACAAATTTATGTTTTGTATAAGGCCGTAAGTATTATTGAATATAGAATCATCACATATATAGCATACACGTAATCACAGGTGGAGCAAGATGCTCAGATCAGTGAGACATCCCCACATATCGCTAATATCGGCAGAATGGTCGAAGATATGGAGAACAAGATTCGCAACACGCTAAATGAGATTTATTTCGGCAAGACGAAAGATATTGTGAATGGATTGCGATCGGTGCAGTCTTTGGCCGATCAAAGACAACAGGCTGCACTTAGACAGGATCTCGCGGCTGCATTGCAAAGGCGAAATGCCAACAATTGATCTTGCGAGCAACAGCAGCATCAGCAGCAGCAGCAAGAGAGCTTTGATTATGATTGCGAATAGATTTCATGGTATTTTTGGATCCTCTTCAACCTTGCTTGGGATCTTTGTATTTTCACAGACATCTTTATATTCTTGAAATCCATGGGATCTTTGGATTCTTGGAGATTCTGGATTTTTTGCGGCGATCTTCTTCGAGAACTTCTTTCCCAAAAAGATCTTTTTGGGCCTTTGGGAATCTTAAATGCTGCCACATGAGTCTTGAGGTCAGATTGCATCCACAGAACTTGCGAATCCTTGGAATCATTGTGGTCGATCTTCACGAATGAAACGTGACACTTATTCCTGCGCTTTGTTGCTCAGAGATATGAATAATACAGACGCGTTGATTAAACCTAAACAGTATGAAATATTTTTTTGTTTAATTTCGAGTGAGAGTTTATTGTAAATATGCGGGAAAGGTGCAACGCGTTTTAGAATGATAAATTAAATAAAAAAAGAAATGTAAAGTGCAAAAGTGAGTTGTAATATTGTAGTCTAACGTTTACTACGTGAGAAGACCTTAAAAAGCACATCTAGCTATTAATCCTCTTTCAGTTTGTGTTAAATTTAATAATTACGAAAAAATGATAATCTGTCAAGTTTTTGTAATTTGATCAAGATTACGAATTATTTTAAAAAATATTAATATTTCTCTTATACTGTTTAGGATTAAATTTAAAAGCGCGTTATTAAGCGCCGAAAAATGTAAAGTTATACAACGCATCGCAATTGTTATAACGAGAAGTTTATCCTTCGTATAAATGTGAGAACTTTAAAAGTTCCACGTAAAAATTTTCATCATTTGTATTAATATCCGTTAAATATGATAAAGTGATATAAATTTTGCGATAAACTATTGACATTGTGTGAAGTAACGCATTTAATTCAAGGACATCCCGTTTATACTGTTTAGAATTGACTCGAGCTACACAGCTAATTCTGAGGAACAGTATAAAATGATTTATTTACGTAAAAAGTCCAAAAGGAGAGCATTGCATTTTGCATTTGTTATAATAATGAATCCATATATAGTGCGCAAATAAAAATTTTAAAATTAAAGTTTATTCGTTTGTATTAAACTTTTTCATAAGTACAAAAATCTGTTGGTACCATGGATCTTCACGAAACCACAGATCCTGGGTATCACGGTTCTCTTTATTATCGGAACTTCTCACAAGATTATGCATGGCATGTAGTGCCACAGATCTTTGATATTACAAATCCTTGGACTGGTGAGTTGACCCCAAAGATCGTCAGTACCACAAATTTTGTAACTTTAAAGCGACAGATGTTGAGGATTTCCTTTTCACCCTCATCCATTTTTTCTGATTTTTCCTACGTAAAACGACGTTGTTACCGTAGTCTCTTGGTACTATAAATCCTTGGAGTCCTTAAGCGTCTGCGCAACCATACACACATCGAGAATCTTATATATCCTAGGATCCATGGGCGCTTAGATTACTTCTCATAATAGAGACGCAAAAATACCGAGCACAAAATTTATAAGTACATGAACGAAGAAAGAAAAGCGGTATTTTCTTGTATTTTCATTTTACGTTAGTGCCTTTTTTCACACTTGAAAAATTACATTACTGATCGTTACTCATAACTTATCCTTTTCACGAATCTACTAATTATACGGATCAATTTAACGATGTAATTTAATTTAACTCAGTTTTGCAAATCTGAATGATGGCAGTGTGTGGGCAAGTCAGTCTAAGAAAGAACTAAAAAAAGAACGTCACCGTGAAACGCTTCTGTGTGTGAATATTCTCTTCCCATTATGTCTATATTTCTTTTATATTGATGTGTGTGTGTGTGTGTATGTGTGTGTGTGTGTGTGCCTTCCCTTTCGGTTGTGATTAACAATCGAAAGAATTATGAGCCTGGTCCAACATAGCACACATAGAATACAGACGCTGATTTATTTCTCATATTATTAATTAATTAGTCGATATTTCATTTAGATTATAATAGATGAGTTTTCGATTTTAATCGTCACCGCAAAAGATCAAAGTCATCAAGGAAGGCGCGTTATTTCGGGTCCCCTTGCGTTTGATAAAGGGGTTTTAAGAATAGGATCTTATAAGATATATATCAGATTTTCGGAAACACACAGGATGTGAGGATAATAATTATTATTAGATGTATGTCGAAATTCACATATATATATATATATATTTGGTGATTTGGAGCCTGCGTATTTACTTGTGGGTTAAAAGAACTTTAATGCATTTTTAACTACTATGAACACACATATATTCGGAGCGACAATCTTGATTCCCGAATTCAGAGATATAAGAATCCTCAAATGAGATATTCTAACAAGAAATTATATAAAAGCAATCTGAATGTTTTATCGTAGGAAATCAAAACTTAAAAGAAAAGATCTACAAAGTGCTCTGCTGTACTTAAAATAAACGAAGTATTTTGGCGGAAATACAAGATGTGAATGTCGCGAGGTCACCAAATCGAGCAAATTCAAGGTCTGTGAATTCTTATGAGGGAGAAAAAACGTATACCTTCCAATGATAACTGTGATTACACTCTCGTAATTAATTATCTGCTTATAATTATTCCTAATCATTCAGACTGCACTTTCGGAACAATTTTCTTTTTATACAAACGATGACACGAAGGACACGAGACGGAAAGGATGTGTGTGTGTGTGTGAGGGAAAGATTCTGCACGCACTCTTTTGCAAATTCACACAAGGATCTTCCATTCGCGAACCTCTTCTTTTTTTCCTAATTATTATGTCTATTCTGACGTGTTACATCATCTAATTAAGTTATCTTGTCGATTGAAGGCGGCTCGTGTAACCTGTTCTGAAAAATGTTTATTAAAACGAGATATTACAACAAAATGTAATAAGGTCTGAGCATTCGCAAGCCAATTACAGACTGAACGTAATGCGATGTCGCGATCGCGTCGCATTGGCCATTATCAAGAGCGCGAAATGTCATCCTATGTGATATTCTTAAGATCTCGACGTCCTTGGATTTAGAGGTCTAAAACACCCGGTTTTTGCACCTCGATATCTGCGGATATCGAAAAATTGTACTTATATTTTTAAATATAGAAGAACCTATAGGCTCCTTTATTGTGTTCTTTAAATGCTTATATTTCGAGTCCAACACACGAACTGTTAGATCCTTCAATCTCAAGGCAATCCTTTGCATTGTTCAATTTTTGGATACAGAGAAATATCAAGATCCTTGCGTACTTAAAATCTTAATTTCGTGGTCGACAACTTTTAGATATCAGAATCTCAAAGCCTTTGAATTGTCTCCATAGATATCGAAGAGTATATCTTGTCTAATTTCAAACTTGGATTCTCTACAATTAGATAAATTAAAATGTTACATTCTTTAAGATTTTAATATTTTCGACTTTTTGAGTATCTAAAAGTTATATTTTTAAGTAATACGAATTATTTTTGCCGAATTCGTAATCCTTATAACTATTGAAAATTGAAACTCAAAATTTCTAGATCCTTAAACCTCACAATACTTAAACTTCAATATTTGTGCAATTAAATGATTAGACCCGCAAATCTCGAGGACTTGAGATCTCTTTAAAAGAAAAGAAAAAATCATTCGGTATTCTGTAAAAATTTTGTATAATGAAACTCCAGTCTTTTTGTCTAATCTTTATGAATCGATCATTATATGGGAAAGATGCTTGAAGTGAGCTGCTTCGTGTCGGGCATCGCCAGCATCCCATGAAAAATTGTTCCGCGCGCGCGTAAAGGACTCGCAGTCCTTTTCCCACGACCTCTTCGTATTGGTCTCCAACAATTTTCTCTCGCTCTCTTTCTTTCTCTCTGCATCTTTCATTCTTTCACATACTCTCTCATTCATACATATAAGTGTAATAAGTTACAAAGCTGTTGTAAATAATTTCTTTCTCTCTCTATTCTTTAAAAAAAAAAAAGATCCAGGATGTGTCAAGGCTTTCTCAGTTTTTATTTTTCCATCAACTCTCTGTTGAAAAGTTGTCGCCACTTTCTTGTATATAACAAACAACGCGTGTGTGTGTGTGTGTGTATATGTGAGAGTATCTGTATGTGTTCATGCAAATGTGCGTATAAACGCACATGCGCGTATGTTTATTTTTTTTGTATGTGTCACATGTAGGTAGATAAGTAGGTAGGTATATGTGACTGAGTGTGCGTGTTACCTATAGTTTCCGCTATAGTTTTCGCTTTTTCCGGATTTATTTTAGTTATTGTTGAATAATAATTAAGTAAGCGGATGTTATACTTCGATAAAAGTCGCTTCTCGCATCTGCGCGTTGCTGTTGTTACATGTGGAACTGCTAGCCCGTTTTGTTTTTTCCACCTTCCTTTCTTTTCTCTTTCTCTCTCTCCCTCTTTCTCTCTCTCTCAATCGCTCTTTTTCTTTCTCTCCCTCTCTTGCTCTCTTACACTCTTCCACTCTCTTCATCATCTTCCTCTATATTTTTTTAGTTGTTATTATTGTTGTTTATCCTGGTTGACCAATGGTAAAGGTGTCGATTGATTGACTAAGCGGGTGGTATTTGCTCGAATGTGTGTTGGGCTTTTTGTCGTCGTAATCTTCGGGCTGAACACAATTATTTGTCGAGAGAGGTGTTGTTTTTGATGGCGATTACTACCTCCTCGCCGCACGCCTTCAATACAGTGCACTAAAAAAAATATATACTTACTGATATGCGTCCAAAGATACAGGTGAGAGTACAAAATGAAATTTTTTAATAAGTGAGAAAAAATAAATTTTTGATATAACATTTTTGATAACATAAAATGTTAGTGGAAACAAACATTAATTTCTTAGAAAAGAAATGTTAGGAAAAGCAGTTTTAAAATCAAACTCGCGATTGAGTAGCATACATGAAATAGTCTTCAATACTACTTGTAAGTTAAATAAAGCAAATACAAAAGCAAAAGTATAGTTTTACTTCAAAATTTTCAGAAACTATACTAATACTACACAAGTCAATAAATAAGTGGTATATAATTTTTGTACACATTATAATAATATTGTAACCAAAAAATTATGTATTTTTTTTAATATAATAGATTTTTTAATTATTATAAATTTCAAACCCCCTATCCTCCCATACATCTAGTGTACAGTCTAATACAGTTTAATAACATTTGCAATTGCATCTTTAACTTGTAGTAATACAAAAATACATGCAATAGTACTAAATGCAGTAATACTAAATACAATAATACTAACAAATATTCTAATGTACATTACCACCCAAGTTAGTAAAAATTTACTTACAAGTAACTCCTTTCCAGCCTCATAATCAGCACGCAACTGTGCTCCCAATTCACCATCAGGTATTTTGAGATCTTCACGCAGTTCTCCATTATCAGCCATCAGGCAGAGATAGCCGTCGTCAGATATATCTGTCAGCTGAACAGAAAATAATTGCATTATTCTTTAGTATTATATGTTAAGAGTACATTATAAAATATGAAAGAAAAGTATTCCTGATTTAAATTTTCTTATAATAATCCTTATCAAATATATATATTCAAATATATTTAAATCATAAAATAAAAATAGACTACCTGAATGAACTTACACATGAACAAAGAAAATAAAATATTTGAAATTGGATAAAAATATAAATATTTGAGCTAATATTTGCAATTAGCTCTTGCCTAGTTACTGCCTAGTTTACTTCTATAGATTAGACATCAGGAAAGAATCTACAACATTTAGGAATGTATCTTCTGCAGGAAGTTACGACAAAAGAACTTTACCTGATAATCTTCCCGCTTGACAAACGGCACATCCATATTGTGTGTAGAAGGGCAGATATCTTCGTATTTCTTTGAAGTAAATATGTCGATACCCACTAAGTGGACTTTAGCGTGACCATGCTTGCCAGTCTTAGAAGTAGACATTTCTACTATCTTGCATGGACGAGACTTTAACATAACAAACCCATTCTTGCGCAATGCTGAACATTGCATGGGATAGGTCACGGAGGCACCAGAGTCTCCAGTCTCAAAGTGAGTATCCTCGATGTCTGCCATTGTTGACTTAAAGTTGTCTGCGCAAAGTAAAAACACAAGTTTTCAATAGTTCTGCATGTTACAAGTTACAATCCTTCCAAGATTGTCTATTATTTAAAATCATAGCATTGTCTAAAGTGACTTGCATTAATACTGATGATACAGTGACAAAGATTTTGTTAAAACTTATTTTCTTTTTAGTATATAACACACTACTGTAATCAATATAATAGACAAAGCTATTACGGATAAAACGAATCTTGAATCGTATTAGCCAATAGCCACCTAGCCAATGAGCGAAATATCGGTGCTCATATTAACTACAAAAAAGCCGCGTCGACCAAACGCGATGGCCTCCTTTTTACAGGATATCTACATATTGTGCACATTTGTGCACGTTATAACGTTCGCGTCATCGTCGATAGCGCACGGCACACAAGCCACTAGAGTTACGGGGATATCGCAACGTGGTTGCCGGCACCCGGACGAACAGGGTGACCACGTGGCGCGTCATCGTAGGGAGTTCGAGCGAGAGATGTCGGAGCGGAACGAAGCGCGACTAACCAAAGATGCCTCGCACGCAACGAGGACGGAAAAACGCGAGAGAGCGTGGCGGCGCATTAACGCCCGCGACGAACATGTCCTTGACGGGCGCCGCGACGCTCTCAGCTTGCCGTCGTCGTCGTCCACGACGTATTTCCACGCGGTCAGGAAATACGCATACGGACAGGTGAACGCAAGCGAGCCACATTGCCAGCGCGGACCGCTGGTGATCGTTGGTCATGTTACGAATCGCTCTGGCGCGTACCGGCGCGTCGTAGCTGTGTGGATACAAACCGGCCCGACATTCACCCACGTATTCTCAATGTTTCGCCGCTCGTACGGACAATTAGCACCATTAGTCGACGCCGAAAGCAAGAAGCTCAGGATACTCACATGTGATCAAAATGGATACTTTAACCAGAAGATCTTGCTGCGCCTGCGCGCCACGGGATCGTAATAGGGGTCTACAACATTGACGGCACGGACGCTCCCTCTCGCCGTTGTGATCGCAGCGCCTCGCTGTTGCGAGCGCCACGTCACGGCGTGGCTATTGTGGCGTTATACTTGGCGCCCATATACGAATTTGCGAGAAGTCACGCCTCAATTTGAGAAAATAACATATAGCGTGTTTGACTAGCCCTGGGTTAATCGCTCCGAGAGCGATTAATGACATCATAAGTCTCTACTAGCCAATCATAAAACATAAGTATTTGTTCGACCAATAAACGTAGGCTGAATAACGTAGAGTGGGTTAACCCAGAGCCAGTTGAACATGCTATTAAACCCGTATTCTGAGTTCTCTTTTAACGATAAATGAGCCTGTAAAGGAGGCTTACGAGCCACATGATTGGTTGAGAAGCTATATTTAATGCACTTTTATCGATAAAAGAGGATTCAGAATATGGGTCGTAGTCTATGTACACTGATATTAGTTCTGTTGCGAGATTAGTCTTTTAGCAGTTGATAATAAAATTATAAGTTATACTTCTAAAATATATAAGTAAACAAACATATTGGCTCATGTGTATAAGAAAAATATAATATGTCAAACTCCTCAAGCAAATCAGAAATATTAAACGTTAAATCTAATAAAAAATTCTACAAGGACTAAAGACAAAGTGCAGTTGTGCGCTATAATTTAATGGTATGTTACAGTTCTTGTAGAATTTATTTGTTTAATTTTAGAGCTGTTAAACAACCTTTCTTGTTATAACTTTAGATAAATCCTAACTTGCATTTATTTTAAAAGTAGATCGTTTCAATGATACCAAAGTATCGAGTGAATCTGCTTTTAAACTACATAAACAAGATGTTTATCGTAGAAACAAATGTTTTTATCTGTATTTATCTATATAAGAAAAAAATAATTACAGAATGTTTTAGATGGAAATAGGATGTACTTAAATTCTTTATTTTATAAGTGCAAAAATATAACAAAACTTATTTATATAGGTAGATTATGACAACTAGATTTATATAAGTAATCCTAAGATTCATCAGTTCGCTTCTCAACATCTTTTTTGAACTTCTTTTGCTTCAGTTTCCATAAGCTACTCCTGATAAATCTTTTAGCAGCTTCCTTGTTTATATGTGGCATAAGTGTATTCTTATCTTCAATTTGCTTTGCTCGTATCATTGCCTTCTTTAGTCGCTCATTCTGTGATTTAATTGGGTGCTTTGATGGGTCAATTCCTGTAATTAGCAAGAAAAATTTAACAGAAAATGTTAACAATTTGAAATTTCCTAGAGTTTCTAAAATTTTAGTCTATATATTTACCTTCAGCACGTAAATACATCCAAAATAAACTGTTAAGGCTAAATGACAGTAATAAGTTGTACTTGATCTTGTCTGGTCTCGAGAGTTTCTCATATAACACTGGATTATTAACTAATTCTACCATATCTTTTACTTTAAAAGCTGCATTGCTGAATTGTTCTAACTTGTTAACCAAGTTTGTATCATGTGAAAGCTCTTCCAAATCAGTTTTTCCACTCATATTGTTGCTTTTATGAACTTATCAATGTAAAATATTTTCCTATAAATAATATACATTAACGTTACTTTTTTTTAATACTTCATTTTTTCTTATTCTATGATCATTTCATAATATTTATAATCTTAAATCTCACAGTTTTAATTTCAATCTATTTTTCTCAATCTATTCTGCTTTAATACTCGTATATCAAAAAGTTAGATTTCAGAAGAATTATTTATATAATATATATAAAGTTTGCTACAGTTGTTATACATTACTTACTTATAGGTATGTGTGGAGAATTATCTCACATAGCATAAATATATACTTTTATCACATGATCTATCGCCATAGGTTTGTCTCGTCTTGTACTTTTTACACCTAAACCTATATTAAGGCTCGTCTACAATGTCTGTAAAACCTGTATCAGACTATGGATTAAGATTGAGATTAAATTGAAAATTGGCCAATCAGAGCAAAGTTCATCAAATTTGAGTTTAGTGAATTTTCTCTGATTGGTTAAATTTCAATTCTAGATTTGAGACTATCACGGCCATTGATACAATGTCTAAGTATAGCTTCCGGAATGGAGCCGTGTCTTGAATCAGCGATATGCCGACGTTTCGCAAACGTTGCAGTTTGCATCATCAGGACTGAGAACTCTGATACTGAGCTCTCTTGGGTAAAGGTAATCCTTATATGCCCCCCTCCCCCCCTTTGTGTAGATGGCGTTTAGGG